AATTTTTGTTATTTTTACCATGAACTACGAGGTTTTGAATCTTTATTACACTTGGTTGATACGTAGGCACGATGCTCTTGAAGTCATGTCAAACAAAAATCATAAAACCAATTTATTTTCTCATCTCATCAATCTCTTTACAAACAACTCTTTTTTATAACACAAATTTTCAAGAGGTTCCTATAGAGTACCATGGATGTGAAGGATGCTAATACATTCCCTTTGCATAACCAACCCCCATATTCAAACCTCTCATTTTATTAGTTTTATTTTAAAAAAATTTGTGGGTTTTGTTTGACCTTTTCTCTTTTTCTTTGGAAACAATAAAGTTTGGTGACGACTCTTGCTTTTTTCTGAGTTAAGTTAATCAATAGCTTAATCTCAATTTTCCCGCCACGACACAAGGAAACTGAAGTGAAATAAAAAATATTTCTAGAGAGAGATTGAGAAAAACAGAGAGATAAGTTTCAAAGAAAATAGAGAGTTTTGGAAATTGGTGTGAAATGAGGATCCTCCTTTATATAGGAGAAGGAAAATCCACAAACAGAAAAAATCCACGGGATTTTTTAATGATCTAATCGATTGGCTCCTAAACCCAAACGATTTGGATGATTGAAATAATCGATTGTTATGGCCCATTTTGATTTTTTTTGAAAAGGAGTTGTTTTCTAGTCAATAAGACAATGTTATAATTGATTGGATGATTGTTTAGGCTTCTTCCAATATATTGGTTTAAGGTCTCAACTATTTGGGTAGTTCAAAAAAGTATTTCCAATCGATTGGTTTAAGGCCTCAAACGATTGGCTAGTTCAAAAAAGCCTTTGAAAGAAAGATGATAGTTTCCTAATCACATGGCTCGACCTTAGAAATATTTTTAAGAGATTTGATAGATAAAAAAGAGGTTTTAAGTGGGTGTGAGTTTCCTTAATATCTTAGGAGTTACTTCCCTACTTTTACAAACTATGATCACTCAAACATACACGACCATACGGGTTTTCACACTTCTTCTCTTTGAAAACTCTGAGGCTTTCAAGATCCTATACTAGATACATCGACCATAGAAGCACTTCACTGGAATCTTGAGTCTTCTACTAGAAGAGGATTGAGATGTCTCCAAGTTCGGCCACCATCATCAAAGAGTTTGAAAGTCATTAAACCCGCTTCAACATCCATTAAAGTTGTCGCTATTAAAACTTTAAAAAAGTTATTAACTACATACTTGCAAGCACATAGATCCACAAATGAAAACTTTATTAACTGCACAAAAACTCTAACCTGTGTAAAATCTCATCACAGTTTGAGGTTATCCCGTGTAAAACCTCGATTCAGTTTGGAGGATAGCCAACTTAAAACTCCATCTCAGTTCTGAGCATAGCCAATGTAAAACTCCATTTTAGTTTTAGATTATCCCGTGGAAAATCTCTATTTGGTTTGGAGGATAGTCATTCTAAACTTTGTTTGTTGACTTATTGTTAGGTTGGAAGTTAGCTTTTAAACTTCATATCCTTGGAAAAGGAGGTTCGTGGGCATATCATGTTAAAAACTCTCAATTTAGTAGATACTCTCAAGAAGAATTCTTGTGAACAATAATAGATCAAGTTATTAAGTCGAATCTGTATAAATGTCTAGTGTTGTTTCTATCTCCCTTATCTCTTTCAATTTCTTTCTTCTTTTTTCCGCTGCATATTTACTCATTGTTTGAAAATGTTTTTAAATTCTAATTTTCTAAATGATTTTGTTTTAAACAACTTTTTCCAATATGCATTTACTGAAATAAGAATTAATAAAATATGATATCTCTAATCCAGAGCCGACCCTAGGGGTAGGCCATCAAAGCTACTACTGCCTAGGGCCTCACTTTTTTATTTTATATTTATATGTTCTTAATTAATTGATTTTTTTATTAAAAAAATAATCTTTTTTAATTATGTTATATATAAATTAAATAATAACACTTAGAATATATAATGATAACAATAGTTTATAATATTATCTTGTTTAATTTGTTAATTTAAAAACTACACATAAATAAAAAAATTTTGAATTTTTTTAACATAATAAAAGAATTAATATCCAAATATTTTTTTATATAATTTTGGCATGATCTTTTTTTTAAATAATGAAATTAATGTTTTTCTTTTAAAGTTGTTGATTTATAAATATCAAGAGCTTGTTTATAGGTCGAAAGAAAATAGAAACAAAAGTAATGATCAATTGAGCTGTTAGAACTTAAATTCTAGACCAATAGCCCCTTAACCCAATTAGTAATGATCAATTGAGCTACCTCACCTACTCAAATTAATGTTTTAATTTTATTATCAATTAAAATAAAATATTAAATAAAATTAATTATAACCATTTAATAGTTTTACATCCTAAAACATCTAAAATTTATTAATTTAAAATACTTTTATTATATTAGAAATATTTAATTTTAAATTTCGCATCAAGTCTCCGGATGTGTTTGGCCGGCTCAGGTCTAATCTTATGTGGTGTGTATGTAGCATGAAGAGACAGATATATCTTCTATCTCTTTTGCTGAAATGGCTGCTACTGCGGCTGCTGCTCTCCGGTTTGTTCCCCCAAACCCCACTCCCAAGAAAACTGTCCACTCCTTCTCTAAACCCAATCTTGTCTCATCATCATGCTTCCCTCTTCCTCTACCTCCCTGCAAATGTTCCTTCACTGCCCCTCTTTCCACTACGACCTATCAGGTTCTTATAACACACTTTTCTTTTCTTTTTCTCTTTTACCATTTCACTAGCTCTAACTATATGCAGTTTTCTGACGCTGCTTCTGAGATGGAGTTAAGATTACATATTGGAGGCATGGGTATAATAAGCACAAAAGACATATCTGTTAATGCAGACGATACATCCTTAGATATCACACTCTTGCGCTCAGGATCTCCCATTACCTTGATACAAACTAATCCTCTCTTTGACAGGATTAAACCCTCCGAAACAATATGGTTTGTGCTAATTAAGCTGCATTCTAAATATATGCTCTTTTTGCTTTTTTCGTTTAATGCTTCTGATTTCGGCAGGTATATAGATGATGATCAGCTTGTTGTGAGTTTCAAGAAACACGACCCTGACTTGAAATGGCCCGATATCATGGAATCATGGGAATCACTTGCTGCCGGATCATCCCAACTTTTGAAAGGAACTTCAATTTATCTTGTTGGTCATTCCACTGAAATCAACCAGAGAGTGGCTCAAGAGCTTGCTACTGGTCTCGGGTACGTTTAACTTCATGTGTCATTCTAAATGCTGCTAACTAGGAGGAGAAACTATATTAATGTCAAGGGGTGCATTTTTGTGGTTGATGCCTATGGTTGATCTGTAACTTTCACTAATGCCTCACAAATCTCTAGTGTTTGATAACGATATTCTTCTCCTCTCAGATACACACCACTTAGTACGCAAGAGTTGCTGGAATCTTATTCCAACCAAACCGTGGATTCATGTAAGTGCCCGTTGCTAATTTGCTATGCTTTGCTCTTTCTTCCTGTTCTAGGACATGTCTTGATTGACAGAGACGTTGGATTTCTGTGTAGTATGTATTGTCATCAACATTAGCATATGCTATATTATCATAAAACTGTAGGATGATATTATGATCTTGGAGGCATAAAAATATAGAAAACTCAATAGGTGGAATGATGTGGGGATTCTCATTTACGTTTTAGAATTAGTTTGTTAGCATTTTGTTATTTCTTGTTACTAATTCTGTTAGAGAATATCCATCTTGCTCTCTTCAATGACTTTGGTTCATTTGAGTCTTTGTATCTGGATACCAAAATTCATTTCCCCCAATTCTCCCAACCATTTTCCAGCACCTTCAAACCTAAAATTGCAATTTCTTTCGATTCTACCTTGTTGCAAAATGATACACCTCGCGATGAAATGTTGGCTGATCTGTTTGCTTCGGCAACCACTGTGTCGTCATTGGCAAAGATGACTATGACAACCATCTCGATAATGCTACCACTCCACTTCGATTCTATATTTGATCCGGGGGAACTCACCTTGTGAAAACACCTCCACCATCGAAATCAATTGATCATATTATCGTTCCGTCGTCACTGCTTGCAACACCTATACTCCAGCTGAACCTAATTCAACCACCATATAAACCTCCATATCGCAGTTATCACACTAAGGACGCAACAAGGATGACTAAATCAGCTCAACTCTTCATCCCCAAGACTGTACCATCAAAGTTCAATGTCACTGTTAGGTTTTTTTCAATTAATTGTGTTGATTTCCTCTGTTTCATGGAATTTAAAAATACCATTGAAGTAGCAACACACTTTTTGTGCCAACATTGGTTGTCTCTAAAGTTAACTGCCCATATTCTAGCTTTCTTGTGTTTACAATTTAACTCAAACTTCACAAGCATCAAAGATTTAATAGTTGGGGACGTGGAAGAAGAAAAAGACTCTAATATGGCTATGCACTTTCCAATGGAAATGTTACTATATGCATTTGTTTCTAAATGTTGTGTTGTTGTGGTTATGCAATTTATAGATGAGATCTTTCATCTCTTAAGATGGATTTGTGGTTCTGGCTTGTTTATGATGTTGTGATGTTTAAGAAAAAAAGCATCACCATTGGTTTAAGGTCTGTACTTACTCTGTCTGGTGTTATTCTGAAATTTGCATGGAATGACCATTATCCTAGTTGGATTGCTATGCCTCCATCCTTCACATTTTTTTAAACTTTGGGGCACATAAAGATCTAAAGTGAATTCCAAGGTTCTTATCTGGGGGTATTAGTCTCTGGAGTGGCCTTATTAGCAGGTCTATACCTAGATATATTACAAATCCTACTTACTACACTGTCAAAGAGGGTGCTAAGTATTGTTGGAATGGAGAGGCACACAGTTTCATATCTACCTTGCTCTAGAATATGGCTATATTATTAATGTCACAAAGAAGATTTTGGTTTATGGATATAGTGTTGTCTTGTTTGAAGTCTTGATTTGGAAGCATATTCATGCAAGATGAAAGCAAAAGTCACCAGAACCACAACCACACATACTTGGTTTTACACAAGGTGAACTGGTGGCACAAGGGTAGATGTAAGTTGTTGTCTTACTACAACAGTGATAACAATAAGTTCTTGGTATGTGAGTATATTACCAATGGGAGCTTGATTGATACATTGAATGGCAAGAAAAGCTTGTTAGTTTGGCATTTAAAATCTAGATCATCCATTATTATTGATGTTGTTATGGAACTTACTTATTTACATCATTGTTGTATTGTATCTATTGTTCCTAAGCACATAAGTTCTAACAAAGTTCTTAGTGGAGGGTTTGAGGAAAAAGTAACAAATATTGGAGTTTCCAAAACGGTTACCTTTGCAAGCAAATGGATAGAAATCATGTATATGACTATGGGATCTTGTGGCTATGTTGCACTGCTATGGAGGAAAGAGCAAAAGTACAATCCTTATCGGAATTTGAAGATATGCACAACAACTTGGATCTCCATGTTCAAGCAATGAGATCCGGGAAAATTTTGTGCTAAGAGCAATTTTCACAACCTTGAGGACAAGGTTAGTTTTAATGGGATAGGCAATGTTATGATTTTGGAGGCATAAAAATATAGAAAACTCAATAGGTGGAATGATGTGGGGATTCTCATCTACATTTTAGAATAAGTTTGTTAGCATTTTGTTATTTCTTGTTACTAATTCTGTTAGAGAATATCCATATATAAGTTTGTATTTGCTGATGCAAGGATTATGAAATAAGAAACTAGTCTTTTTCTTCCTATCTTTTTCTTAGGAGGCTTCTCTACCTTCGAAGTAGAGTAATTCACATCTCCAACCCTTATAGATGAATTGTGTGAGTGCCTCCAGTAATGTCTTACAAGACATTCTATGTTTGACTCTAATTTTAGCATAGTCCATAATACATCCCTGTTTTTTAATCATACCTAATATCCTCAATCCATCATAATTAAGTCTTTGATTAATTATTTATCTTAATACCACAACCATAATTAAAAGAGGAGGAATGAGGGATGTTACACCCCCTCCCCTATTTCTTGTGTTTTTCTCACCTTCATGTAGTAAGTATGAAAAAGACAATTGTTTTAGACAAAACCTCTGTTAAGTTTTATTAATTTCCTGCCTTTTTTAAGCATATGCATAATCAGTGTCTTATGGAAACTACTGAGTTCTGATAGTACAAGTTTGTTATTTGTTACTTCTACTGATAAAGATAAGTTACTTGCAACCTCGTGAAACCTTGGCCCAGGATTCATCTTTAAGCTCTATTTGCGAAGATTCCTGATTAATGAGTAAAACCTCCAAAAAAGCCCTCACCTTGAAAGATATTACTGAGATGATGCTTCTTGTTTTAATATAAAAGGATATGACAGTAACAAGTGCACACATTTCAACACAAGAGACACTTAAATCCTGTATCTTACAGTGTATTAACAAATGTAATCGAATTCTAGGGCTGCTTGCCGAAGGTTCTGACTCGGTAGCCGAAGGTGAAGCCGCTGTACTTGAAAGCATGAGTAGGTAAGTTGATTGCTTAATTTCATTTTCAGGATGCTTTGGTTGCTAGGTACTAATGCATTTTTTCCACTGTTGAGTGGTCTCCTAGTCATGTACGGACAGTAGTTGCAACATTAGGAGGTAGACAAGGTGCTGCTGGAAGATCTGATAAATGGAGACATCTTTATGCAGGATTTACTGTCTGGTTGTCACAGACTGAAGCATCAGGTGATTTTTGTTGATCTATTCTTGTTTTTCTTTTTGTAAGACGTGCCTTCAGTTCTAATCCAACATTTCAACCTTGTTTTGAACCTTCAAAATAATAGATGAGTCACTTGAGCCTGGACTTTGATGAAACTTTTACCATTATAAAGGCTATGTGTTGGATGGAGGGAGAAAGTTAGTAAGGGTCTGTTTAGATTGACTTATTTGAGCTTATCTAGTGAGGTAAACACTGGTGAGGCTGTTTGAGAGAGCTTATATAAACAAACTATGACATGTTCATAAGTGGTTTTCAGCTTATTTCCATAAACTCATGAATGGATTATGAAAATAACTTGTAACTTAGTGAAAACACGTTGTCTTCATTTTACCTTTTGTTATAGAAATAGCATACTACATAGGCACTTACATGATAAACGCTTAATTATGTTGTTTATCCAAATAGGGCATAGTTTCCTATTGATACTCTGCCCTCTCTTCCCCTTCATTTTCTTTTGATTCCTTCCTTTCTCCCCCAACTATCATATTTACCTAAACATATTTACTTGAGCCTATTGTTTCCAGTAAAAAATGATTTTGATAGCATGAAATACAGATGAAGATTCTGCAAAGGAGGAGGCACACCGAAATGTCAAAGATGGCATAACTGCATACACAAATTCAGATGTTGTTGTCAAGCTACAGGGATGGGATCCTGCATATGCTAAAAGTGTGGCACAAGGATGTTTGAGGGCCCTAAAACAGTTAATCCTATCTGACAAGAAACTCCCAGGTATTTGTGCCCATTTGTTTTGTAAATCACATGCTTTCATATAGACTCCAATCCATTTGACTATTTGAGTAGTCATGTTTTTTAAAATAAAATTTCCCTTAGGACTTGACACATCAATTCCTATGTTATCAATCTCGGATGACGGCATGGCCATCCCCAAAAAAATGGAGCAAAATGGGAAGGGGGCGGACACTAATAAAGTTAATACTAATAAATACATAATTGTTAAGAACAAAAATAACCTTAAGCAAAACATACTTGCAAATGACAATAAAATTAGTAAAATAAATATTTAAGGGTAATATCATATACGGCTGACGCGGGTATTCCTAACCGCATGAGAGCGGGTTGTTCCGAATCTGATCCCATTATCGTGAGCATTCCTAGCCAAGTCACATATATGTGTCGTTCCAGCTTGGCGCGGTTTTCTTGGTTGTGCCGATCCGTGCCAAGATAGCGGCCGGAATGGCCGAGTTTGATAACATAGAAATTACAGACCCGATAACCTGTACAATTTATTTTCATTTGGTTAGAGTATATTTGGATAAATAGTTAAACTGAGTACTTATTTAAACATTCTTATCATTTAAGTACTTATGTCTAAGTTATTTTTATAATCAAATAGAGAATTAACTAAATTGTTTTCTATAAGTTGTAAATTGTTTTTACAAACTATCTATCCTAAGAAGCTTAATGAACATGTCATAAGCTAAACTATCTAAGACACTGGCTCATGTTTTTCAAAAAAGCACTTTCAGATAACAAAAATTGTTTGAAAGTGTACTTATTAGAGTTATATCTTAGGATATGAAAAATCAGTACTATTGTGACAAACCAGTGCACAGTTGCTATGGCTCATAACCCTGTTCTTCATGCAAAAACAAAGCATATGGAAATTGACCTCTTTTTTGTAAGAGAAAAGATCCTTAATAAGTCTCTCACAGTCTGCCACATTCCTGGTATTGACCAGAAGGCTGACATCCTCACCGAGCCTCTCTCAAGTTTAAGATTTATGGAGCTCAGCAGCAAGCTCAACCTGTCTGCCTCAAGTCAGCCTTTGCAGCCCGCCTTGAGCTTGTGGGGGAGTATTAGAGTTATATCTTAGGATATGAAAAATCAGCACTATAGAATAATTAAAGCCAACCTTAATTTAATAGAATAAGAAAAGTTCAGCCCTATAGAATAATTAAAGTCATCCTTAAATGTAGAGCTTGAATGATTCAACTCTTAAATGTTCAACTCCTCTTGTATAAATAGAGCATCATGCTCCATTCCAATTCAATATAATAACAAAATCAGTTTCTCTCGTTTCTCTTTTAGCTTTCTCTCTCTTCTTTCTCATATCTCACTATAATAGCACTTCTGAACGGCACAAAATGTGTTTTTTCTAAATGTGTACTATCCAAACTTGTTGGGGGCTGGGAAGAGTACCGCCGAGTCTATTAGTCTATGATTGACTTAATCTCTTACTCTGATATCATGCAGGTAAAAAAGGCTTATACATAAGATTGGGATGTCGAGGTGATTGGCCGAACATCAAACCCCCTGGTTGGGATCCATCAAGTGAAGGCGGCGAAACTCTTGGCACATAATAATAGTGCTTGTAGTAAAATAATAAGTGAGTACATCAAATATGTCGATACAAATTTGTTAGTTAAGGTAATACAAGAGAAATTTTCAGCAGTTCACCTGTTCGAGAATTGTTCTAGTCATCAAAACCAAAAAGAAAAGATACCAAGACTTGAAACTGCAAATGCTACATCATTCCTCTCCAAATTTTTTACCGATTTTATATGAAATATCCATGACTAAATCAAGATTTGAATTGCTGCTGTTATACTCTTTAACGGGATATTGTGAAATTTCGAATCAGCTTTCACAATCATAGCTGCAGAGAACTCTATTGTTGGTTGTAACTATTTTTGGAGTATATCATCATGTAACATATGCCTCACATTGGTTATTGTATGATTAAGAGGGGTGATTCTAGCAATACTGTCAAAGCATAACCAACCAGGAGTTTAACGAGTTGAATTGTGCGAATCTGCCTTTGTCTATGGTTTGGTTACTTGAGTAGTTTGATGGCAGTTTAAATTTAGTTTGAATGGTTTAAAATAATTGAAACATGAACCCGGAAGCCTTGACAAAAAGTTTAAAAAAGTTTAGATGTAGTCTTGTTTAAAAAATAACCAGGAAGTTGCTGAAGAGCTTGCTACTGGTCTCAGGTACGTTAAAGTCAGTGTGTGTTACTGGAATCTTATTCCAACCACACCGTGTATTCGTGTAAGTGCCATTTCTAATTTGCTTTGCTCTTTCTTCCTGTTCTACAACATGGCATGATAGACCGAGACATCGAATTTCGTTGTAGTATGTACTGTCACCAACATTAGCATATGTCTTATTATTATTATTATCATTATAGGACTGTAGGATGAACTTTTTGAATGCCTCCAGTATTGTCTTCCAAGATATTATGTGTTTGAGTCTAATTTTAGGTATCATCTGAACTCTAGAAAAAAATCAGTCTTATGGGAACTGTTGAGTGCTGATGCTACAAGTTTGCAGTGTGTTACTTCTACTGATAAAGATATGTTACTTGCAATAGCCGCGGTACTATCGCAGTGGATCAACACAACTGACATATGTTTTTTCCATAAGGGAATCTCAGTTAGCAAGCATCTTAACCAACTTGCTTCTTCACTAGCAGTCGCTAATGCTATATTCTCAGGATAGTATGTTTCTTTGATTTCTAAGATACAACTCCTTTAGCTATGTTGAATACATAGCCACTAGTTGCTTTGGAATCATTTGATAGGGTATTCCAATCTGCATCATTGTATCCTTCAGGTACAACAGGAAATCTCTGTTAATGTAAACCGAGATTCATGGTCCTTTTAAGGTACCGTATGACTCGCTCAATAGCTTGTCAATATTCATTACTCGGTCTACTAGTAAACCCGCACAGCAATCCCACGACATATGCAATGTCAGGTTTAGTACA